ACGCCTCCCAGCCAGCCCCAGGCTCCCAGTTCACAGCCCTGCCCCCAGCCCCCCCCAGCCCCGCATTACCTTGATGTACTCACTCCAGTGCTGCAGCAGCGCCTGCTGCCCGCCCTTCACCCGGCTGAAGAGCTGGTACATCTGCGTGAGGTCGGGAACCCTGTTCTCGTCCAGCAGCTGGTCCAGCCCTAGACGGTGCAGTGAACATTAGTGAAGCGCGGCTGCAGGTCAGCACCTGAAGCCAAGACGAGGCAGGAGCCGCTCATGGAGACAGACTGGACCGGACACTCGGAGCACAGTCTTCAACAGGCCCAGGAAATGCAGACACGACACCGCACCGCGCTAAACCTGCACTGGGACCCTGCGTGCCTACGGCATGGGGACGTCCCCGTGCCTGCCTCATCATCTCCATCCAGGCCAGCGGTCTGCACATACTTGAGCTAGGTCCATGGGGTAACCCTCACCTCCCGAGTGGCTGGAGGGGTGCTACACGCTTCCTCAGGTCGCCAGAGCAGCCAAGGCCGGAGGTGGCCACCCCAGGGTGACGGTTCTGCCTCAGCCCTCCATGAGCCGACTGGTGGTTAGAGGGCCAACCGCCAAACCTGGTTTCTAGTTGCACAGTTTTATTCACATATTTAGCAAGCTGTGCAACAAAGCATTACCAGGTATTGCATTTACAGTCCTCGTTTCTGGTATTACATTTCAGATTCCCTACAACATGTCAGTCGGGAAACCCGCGGAGATGGGAAAGCACCCACTGTGGCACAGCACGCGGCAGCAGAACGCCGTGAGGCCCCCGCGTGAGCCCCCAGGTGGCTCCCCGGGACACGCCCTCCACGTGTGCAGGTGCTTAAAAGGCGAGCAGACGCAGCGGGCCCTCAGCCGGGCCCAGCTGGCCACTTTGGCACAGTACACTTCCATGGACTAGTGGAAATAAACTTTAAATGATGATCTCACTGGACATCATTTTGCATTTTACTGCGGAGCACATACGCTCACCAGAGAGACAGAAAGAGAGAAGGAGAGTGAGAAGATAAGCCACCATCAGGTCTGGGACTCAAACTGTCACAGGCCATGTGGGAGTCCAGTGCCATAGCCTGCGGGCCCTGGAAATAAACTTTATCTTTACTAAAACCCTAATACCTTTCTTTAAAAATTTAAAAAATGGGTGGGAACCAGCAGTTAGCGTAATGGCTATGTCGCTGGACTCCCACGTAGTCGACCGCGGTTGGTGTCCCGGACCCAGTGGCTTAAAAAACTCACGCCGGGCGCGTGTGCGTGCGTGCCCAAGATCCCGAGAGGAGAATGGAGGAGAAGGGATTGCGGCGTGACCATCCCCCCTGGGGGGTGATTTCTCGCTTTCTGTCTCTATGTCTCTCTCTGTCTGTCTGGCGAGCGCACGCGCCCTACAGTGAAAATCTCTCCAAAAAAAAAAAAAAAGAATTTAAAAAAGGGGCTGGCAGAGGGTGCAGATTTACGTCTCTGAACACCCACATGGCTGTCTGTGGTTTGAGTCCTCAACGTGGTGACTGGAAAATCGTGTCAGGCATGTGTGTGCCCAAGATCCCAGGAGAACAGAGAAGGGACTGCTGTGCAGCCATCCCCCCGGGGGTGCTTTCTCACTTTCCAGCTCACTGTCTCTCTCTCTCTCTCTCCACAAGGGCATGTGCCCTACACCAAAAACCTCTTTACCAAATAAAAATATACACATACATACACACACACACACACATATACCTACGTTCACACACGCACATACACACACGAATATATGCATACATGTTCACACACACATGCACATACACATAGGCCTACACAACACACGTTCTCACACATGCACACACATGCACACCTGCGCACAGGTTTACACACATTTGTGCACACAAACACACACTTGCACACCCACACACATACATGTAGACACATGTGCATGTGTGCCCACACACATATACATGCATGTACACACACACACACACACTCATGTACACCTTCCTACTTTTTAAGTGCCTTTCAGGCCTGGACTAGGCTTTCATCCGTACGATGCTCCACGCCCCTGGAACGGCGCTGCCGTCAGAGCATGCGTACAGTCTGAAAACGTCACTTCCCTGCCCGGCGTGCGGCAGGCTGACCACACGGGGGTTCCGACCTCAGTCTCCACATGGGATCTAGCGCGCTCTCTTTTAATGGCTGGAAGGCGCATGTGCTCGAGAGGGAGAGGAAGCACTCCCCAACGGGCATGGCACCACCTCTCCACGTCCCCTTCCCGTCAGGGTCCGAGCGCACACACACGCCTGGTGTGTTTCTGAAGCTGCTAGGGCTGGGATTCGCGCTGTGGCCACCACGCGGGACCCGGCTTCTCTGGGGCAGGGCACTGCCGCTGCCCTGGGAGACGGCCGAGGTGCCCCCTGGAAATGCCTGGTGCACCCACAGAGCTGTCTGCAGTGACAGCAGTGAGGCCTGCTTCACCTGAGAGTCCAGCAGCACTGCTGGTGTCGGTGTGAGGAGGTTCGTAACGGCGCATCCCAAACACGACCCACGTCCTGACGCTGACCCCAGCTGCCTCCCTGGCTCGCTAATGACCTGGGGTGGCATCAGTTTCACGCGCAGACTTGGGGAACCCACCTTTCTGCAGAATTGCTGTTAAGTGCTCTCCTAGCAGCTGCTTCTCCACACAGGCGATCAGGGGTTTCCTACACAGGCACGGAGAGGGCGAGCTAGAGATGGAGTCCGAGGCGGGCCTGGCCAGCTGCCCAGCTCACAGACCGCGCACAGCCACCCGGAGCACAGTGCCACGAGGATGCCCTGGGCCACAGGCCCGCCCCCCAGTGGCCCAGTGACAGACTGCCGGAGGTGGGATGGGAGCTGGTGCCCCGAGGCAGGTGGGCAGCCCTCCAGACAGCGAGCCGCGCCAGGTGCTGGTGCCACGGGGCAGGTGGGCAGCCCTCCGGATGGCGAGCCACGCCAGGTACAGACTCACTGCGTGCTGTGATCCAGGTATGTGAGGACGCGGTCTCCTTCTTCTTCCAGTCGCTTGTTCACATGGTGAAGGTATTCTGGAACCTTCCAAATAAAACGTTCGAACACATCAGTAATGAAAGACTCTGGATGTGACCCAAGAAAGAGGAATTCTATCTTTAGAAGTTTTTTTTAAAAAGCTGAACACTCGGGGGGACCAGCAGTTGGCATAATGGCTATGTCACTGGACTCTCATGTAGTCGACTGCGGTTCAAGTCCCAGACCTGGCAGCTTAAACTCACGCCGGGCACGTGTGCGTGCGTGCCCAAGATCCCGAGAGGAGAATGGAGAAGAAGGTATTGCGGCGTGGCCATCCTCCCTGGGGGGTGATTTCTCGCTTTCTCTGTCTTTCTGGCGAGCGCATGCGCCCTATAGTGAAAACCTCTCAAAAAAAAAAAAAAAAAGGCTGAACACTCATGTCCAAGCCAAATGCTGGCCCAGAGCCATGGGGGTGGGCGTGGGGTCTGTGGTGGGTGCAGCGGAAGCTGAGGCTG